TAGTTGCCGGTTCTCCGAACTGCGCAGAATCATAACAACCGGTTCTACAGAACCGGCATGAACCGGTAGAATCCCATCCCTGAAAATGGGGTAAAACTAACTTAACAAATAACACACTTAGCAATGGATATTTGGGGTTCAGTTGTAGTTGTAAATTGAGGACCACCTGTATAATATATTTAAAGATACACACACACATAAAATAGGTGTACACACCCAAAACACTTCGCTATTTAGTTATCTCAGTTGTGCATTCCTCAAAAAAAAAAAAGCAAAGAGGAAAATGAGAAAAGAACAAAGACAGAAGAAAAAGAATATTTTTTTGTTTTGGTATCAGAGCTATCCCTGACAACAAGGAGAAACACCTGAAGACTTCATTTGGGCTCTCTCACCAATTGTCCAATTCTGATTTTCAATCTTCTCATTGCACAGGTACACCTAAAACCACAATGGAGCCCACCCATTACAGTCGTAAGTCATGATGGTCATAATTCACAAGTTAGTCACTTAACCAACCCGACTTTACGACATTTTTTTTTTAAAGGCAAAGGTGGAAATCGTAAGTGCGAATGCCATGGACGTAAGTGATGGATTTGGACTAACTAAACGGTTGTAAAATGTAGTCATGTGGGGTGGAAGGCTGCAAATGGCCACAAGGGGCATTGTTTGTCAACTCATAAAACATTTCTATGGTCTTTTTAGAGTGGCCAACAGAAAGGGAGGGGGGGAGCAGTGCGGCAGCTTGGAAACCAAAAGTGCATTCCATAAATGTTTTCAAAGATAGTAACTAGGTGACGGAAGTTTCTGCTGTGCAAAATTCTAACAGGAGAGCATGACTGATGACTCTTGGCTATGGATGTGTCCCGTTGGAGGATATGAATTACGATACACCCAGAGGGGTGGGAGGGAAAACCAGGGTCAAGAGTGACAATGAATGATGTGCCTCAGAGTCGGCTACACCCAGGCAGTGCCGGACATGTTAACTCTCAATAAATCCTTTTTTTAAGTTTTGGAAGTTTGGCTCAAGACTCATGATTTAAATGGGGGGTAACTGCCGGAATTCTGACATCGTTGCTGTGGAGTGACCGAAGTTCAGTCATATGACTGTAGAGGGCCCCCCACTGGGTCATAAGCAACTTGAAGGTAGGTCTGTTGTAACTCTGAATGATTGCTCAGTGACTGGTCGTGTAAGTCAAGGTGTAAGGCATCCAGAAAGTATCCATGACTAATCATTAGACAAGGGTCTTGTAGGGTTGGTTAAGAAGACCCAACCCTTCTGGGGTGCTCACCTGCTCCCTTGGTCACAACCGGTTTCGGCTTGCTCCGGGCCCCGTCCCCTTTCATGGTGTAGGCAGCTACTGTGACCGAGTAGGTGGTCTCTGGCTGAAGTCCAGAAATGACCATTTCCTGAGGAGTTAAAGCAAAGAATTAAAACAAAAAAACATTCCTTCCTTCCTTCCTCTTCTTTCTTTCTTTCCTTCCTTCCTTTCCTTCCACCCATCTTTCTTTCTTTCTTTCTTTCTTTCTTTCTTTCTTTCTTTCTTTCTTTCTTTCTTTCTTTCTTTCTTTCTTTCTTTCTTTCTTTCTTTCTTTCTTTCTTTCTTTTCCTTTTCTTTTCCTTCCCTTTGGAAAAATAATTGGGGTCCAGCATGCAAGACACAGCACAAAGCAATCCTTGACACATCGCATCACATCACATCACAAGGAAACAGGGTTGGGTGGGGGAGGAAACCTGACATTCGCCATACCAAACCCACAACTTGCAATGGAATAAATCCCGTGTTTTAAACCGAAAGCTTTGAAGAGGGAAGGGGCTTCATTCTTTCTCGTCTTCACAGAAAAGGGTCTTGTCAAAATGGGACTTTTGTTGGTTCCTCAAAGGAACTCAGAACTCCAAAGGGGAAAAAAAAAATTACTGTTCTCAACTGTATTGACCATAGAAGAACAGAGTTGGAAGGGACCTCGGAGGTCTTCTAGTCCAACCCCCTGCTGAAGCAGGAAACCCTATACCATTCCAGACAAATGGCTGTCCAATCTCTGCTTGAGGGCTCACAACTTCTGGATGCCAGCCATTCCAGTGAGTGATTGTTCTCACTTTCAGGACCCCTCCTTTCTGTGACAGCCCGTCAAATATTGAAACACCGCTACCCTGTCTCCCCTGGTCCATCTTTTCATTAAATGAGACCTACCCAGTTCCTTCAACTGTTCTTCATGTGTTTTAGCCTCCAGCCCCCTAATCATCTTGGTTGCTCTTCTCTGCACCCTTTCTAGAGTCTCGACATCATTTTTTACATCTGTTTGAAAACTCTTCTTTCTTGTTTCATTTTGTAGGGGGAGAATGAAAAATACCAAGAGCTTTGCTTCTAGTTTCTATAGCACAAAAACCAGCTGCTTGAGAATAATAAGCCCAAAGGATGCGTTTCCTCCAGCTCACAGCAGCTAGGTTTCCACAAAGGGCACTTATCTTGTTTTAACCCTCGTGTCTTAACCTGGTTTAGCGGAGTTTCCAGTGTCAAGTATTAAGCTGCTTTAACTGGATCTGCATAAGGCCACACTGATGTTGGTTGAACCATCACTTAAGTTAGTTTAACATGATCCGCTTCTTTGAAAAACTTATGTTGATCTATTCGTCACCTCTTAAACTACTTTAACAGGGTTGGAACAAAGGCACATGCTGGTTTAACCTTCACCACTTAACTCAGTTTAACAGGCTCTGCATCTCTGCACACTCATGTTGGTTTAAGCCTAATTTCTAAAGATGGGTTAACAGGATCTGCATCTCTGCACACCTATGTTGGTTTAACTCTAATTTCTAAAGCTGGTTTTAACAGGGTTTGCATTTCTGTAAACTTTAACTCTCACTCAAGCTAAGTTAACATGGCCTTCATCTCTGCACATTTATGTTAGTCTAATCGTCACCTCTTAAGCTAGTTTAACAGGCTCTGAACAAGGGCACACTTACGCTAGTCCAGGGGTGGGCTACAAATTTTTATAGCAAGGGGCTCTCTGCCCTAATGACTGGCTGGGTGGGCGTGGCTGGGTGGTCATGTGACTGGGTGGGTGTGGCCAACTTGATGTCGCTTCTTTGCCCTAATTACCTAAAAAAAGATAATATACTAAAAAGTTGTTAATTATTTTGTGCGTTTAATACTTAAATAAAAGACTGGGTGAAACCAGGTTTGCTAGCAGTGACTGGGATCTTGGAGTCTTAAGTGGAGTTTCTGGTGAGTTACGTGATTCTTATTATTGGGGAATTAATCCCCTCGGAGGCTAGTGGCTCTGTGATCTGATTTTCTCAATGGCTTTCCCTCGCAAACAAGCGCTGAGTGGATTGTTTATCTAGCTTGCCATACTTTTACGAGGTGTGAAATGCTCTTGGCTGAATGCCCAGAAGTTCTATTAAGCTTATGAAGAGCTTTCCTTTGCTGCTTGTCTTTCTGAGGTTATTGGGGACTCTCCAAGCCCCGCAGAGTCTTAGCTACACCCTGCGAGCCTTCAGCAGCCCACCCGTCTAGCCTAACCCTCACCTCTAGTTTAATAGTCTCCGCATCTCTGTACCTTCATGCTGGTTTAAACCCTCGTTTTTCCATACCTCGGTTAACCTCTGCGCCCCGCTCCACCCAGATTCCATGCAAAGAAACTAACCCAACATTCGGAGAGGCTGAAGCACACCAAGCCACACAAAACTTAACAGGGGAGGGAAGGAAGGTTGGGGGAGGTGGGGGAGAAAGGGAGATACTCAACACCATGCTATCACTAAACAACAGGGAAGGGAACCGAGAAGAGATCGTCACAACGGAAGCATTTTACTTACGTATTCTGCAGTATCATCGGTCTCCCACTGAACAAAAGAAGGTAGGCAGGTGAGGATGAAAAGGGGAAAGAGAAAGAAAAGTGAGGTGATGTGGGGAGCACGGGGGAGGGGCTGCCTGGGGAGAGAAAGGCCAGGGTTAGGAAGCCTCCCCTGAAGGTGCTGGGGCAAAGTGGACAAAGTGGGCAGGAAAGATCGGTGAGGTTAGTAAGAATGAATCATTCTATTAACAGAGTGGGGAGGGGTGTGTGTGGCTGAACTGGGCTGGAGGGAGTGCCATTTTGGAATTACAGGTAAGTCCTTGTGTTGTGGCTCTGAGGTTTGAGCCTGCTTTGTTAGAGGACGAAGACTCGGACAGTGGGGAAGAGGAGGTTTTGGAAATGCCTTCCTCCCCAGGACCTTCCTCTTCGGCAGTGCCTTCCTCCCTGATTGTGCCTCAGGTGTCGGCAGATAACCGGGAGGGAAGACCTGAGGCTAATCAGGAAAAGGAGGAGGGCGTATCAGAGTCTCTGACTGAGAATCCAGCAGAGGAATGCTGGCTTGATGCGAGGCAGCGTCGTAGGCAAAAGTGCGAGCTGCAACGTGGAAAGAAGGGACGAATCAGAGACTGAGATGAGGGACTGACACGCCCCACAGGGAATAAAAGTGGGTGTGTTCGCTCTGGGAACTTGTTCGGGACAACGTGTGACTTATGGAGAGAAGCTTCGGAGTATCCTGTGTGCGGTGACAGCTTGTATGATTTGTATTCCTCTTATCTGGTCAGACTTGGCAGACAGTGTGTGTGAGACTGCCAAGAACTTTATCGGCTCAAAGGAGTTAACTCCATAATTACCGGACTTGCTGGCTTGTTTGTATTTAGTTGGAAATTTGGACTTCTCACCTCGTTTGTACAGGTGAGACATAACACCTTGACTTACAGCGATTCATTTAGTGACCATTCGAAGTTGCAACAGACAGCGCAAGCCTCATAAATACATGCTGGCTGCCAAAGCGGGCCAATTTTGATCCGGTGAGCGCGGGGATTGAAAAAAAAACAAAACCGATCCTAACTTGCTTCCCCCCCCCCCCGTGTCGTCGTAACTTTGAACTGCAGTTGTCAAGTCGAGCAGCGCCCGTAAGCGTTTTCAATTCTTGCCTGTAATTCCTTCTTCAACCACGGGCTGCTGGATGCGACTGCCTTTTGAAACCTGGAGAAAGTCTTCCTTTGGGTCAATTTTTTTGGGTGTGTGTGTGTGTGTGTGTCGTGTGTCAAAAAAGCGCTTCCTTAAGGCCATGAGGCTTTTTTTGTCACGAGGACTAGAATCTTTCTCCCTACGGGAGAGATGCAGCTAAATCCTTGGCTCTGATGCATAAAACATCAAGGCTTGGCACTTCCCAGGTAGAATTGGAAACGGCTTCTACCTTATAAATAATTGGCATCAGATCATTACAGGCAGTCCTCATTTAATGACCATTCATTTAGCGACCGTTCTAAAGCTATGGACATGATGTCAGTCCTCAAATGGAGAGTCAACCAGGAGGTGGCTGATGAGGAAGAGGAGGAACAGCTGGGTCCGGTGCCTGACACACAAATGCGCAGAAGGCAGAGGAGAGGAGAGGAGAGCAGTGGAGATCTATGGGCCGGTCCTTGGGACAGAAGAGACACTGAGGCTAGCGAAGCCCCACCCTAGCTCTGGGGATAAAAGGCAGGGGACGGAAATGAATCGGTGTGGCAGACTTCATCTCCCGGCCGGTCAGCTACTGATACCCCGCTCGCACTTCCGAATCCTGCCTGGAAATTATCGGAATTCTTCTTGGAATCCACAGCACCTTCTGAGTGTGCGTGTGTGTGTGTGTATCTGCTGCTGGAAGAAAGAGAACACACCTTCCATGACTTCCTTTGCACAAGTGTGGGAAGACAAGAGAGCGTTGGGCCTGGTGTGTTGGGCCAGTTAAAGGGGGAAAGGGAGCGAGTGTCCACTCTCCACAGGACTTCGTAGCCTGCTGTGAGAGAGCGGATGCTGGCGCTCCTCACAAAAGGAACATTTCGTTAACTACAAAGGGCTTGTCGTGTTTGGGAGCTGGGTCAGAACACGATGCCTCACTGATTCACTTAACGACCACGGCAAAAAAAAAAACACCTCATGAAATCGGGGGCAGCCGTGCGATGCCTGACATAATATCCGCACTGCTTAACAACATATTTCCAGGTCCCTATTGTGGTTGTAAGTCGAGGATTACCTGTAGCACTGAGCGAATGGACGAGACTATCCTCTCTTTAATATTCACCAAAATATTGTTGTTCGATGCACAAAGGGAAGAGAGGGTGAGTGGAAAAATCAGGCAGTTTTGGAATGTTGACACAGGTAGTCCTCAAATTTTGACCACAATAGAGCCCAACCTTTCTGTTGCTAAGTGAGACATTTGTTAAGTGAGCTTTGCCCCATTATACGATCTTTCCTGTTAAGTGAATCACTGCAGTTGTTGTTGTCCTAATTCTTGTTAAGTTAGGAAAACGGCTGTTAAGTGAATCCGGCTTCCCCATTGTCAGAAGGTCGCAAAAGGGGAACATGGGACCCCGGGACCTAGCAACGGTCATAAGTATGAATCAGCTGCCAACCGTCTGAATTTTGATCGTGTGATATATGGGGACGCCTACAAGGGTTGTAACTGTGAAAAGCGGTCGTAAGCAGTGGCGGGATTCAACCGGTGTAACAACCGGTTCGGTGAGCGGATGCATGGGGGGGGGGGGGGGGGGGGGGCAACTGATCGCTGGAACTACCCATTTGCCCGAATCGTTCCGTACCGGCTACCTGGTTGTAAGTCCCTTTTTTCAGTGTCGTTGTAACTTTGAACAGTCACTAAGTGAACTGCTGTAAGTCAAGGACCACCTGTATAAGGATGGAGGGAAACTCAGGTTTTTTTCAAGATCCCTGCTGTAAGTCACAAGTCAAAAGTTGACTCGGGCACCGAAAAGAGGAGGAGGAGGAGGAGGAGGAGGAGAAAAAGGAAACGCCCATTGTTAATAAGCTGTGAGGTTGTCTTGGGTTCGAATTCAGCCACAAGAAGTGCCTTGCCTCCAAAAAGAAGAGACCCCCCACCTGTTCTCCCCTGCCCTCCTCACCTGAGCATCAGCCAACATGACATCCTTGATCTGGGGCAGCCCACTGGCTTCGCCGTTCTCCATGCGCACGTAATGCACTTGGTAGCCACGTATCTGTCCGTGCTGCCGGTTCGGCACCGGGGAGCGCCAGAAGACTTGGATGGCCGTTGAATTGAGGACTTCCACCTCCACCTTGCGAGGTGGGGCGCTGGGCACTGGAAAGGGAGGAGGACGCGAGAGAAGAGGGAAAAAGGGGAGAGAGAAAGAAAAAAGGGTTGGGACTTTAAGAGGAGGAATTGGTCGTGGAAGACGGCCTGTGTCTGGCTTTTTGGGCGGACCAGAAAATAGCAATAGCACTTAGACTTATATACCGCTTTATAGTGCTTTACAGCCCTCTCTAATCGGTTTATAGCCTCTTGCCCCTAACAATTTGGGTCCTCATTTTACTGACCTCGGAAGGATGGGAGGCTAAGTCAACCTTGAGCCGGTCAGGATTGAACTGATGGCAGTGGGCAGTCAGCCTGCAAAACTGCATTCTCACCATTGGGCCACCAGAGTCCTTCCTTCCTGCCTTCCTTCCCTTTCCTTCCTTTCTTCCTTCCCATTTAGTACTTAGACTTATATACCGCTTCACAGTGCCTTACAGCCCTCTCTAAGCCGTTTACAGAGCCAGTCTCTTGCCCCCAACAATCTGGGTCCTCATTTTACCCACCTCGGAAAGAGGAATGGCTGAGTCAACCTTGAACCTGATGAGATTTGAACTGCCAAATTGCAGGCAGCTGGCAGTCAGCAGAAGTAGTCCTGCAGTACCGCACTCTAACCACTGCGCCACCACAACTCAGATAATGTCTGGAACCCCCCGTTTTGCGCATCCAGGGGCCTAGCGAGAGCCACAATTCAGAACTGCAATGCAGTGGCCGAAGCTGGCCGGTGTGTGTCTCGCTGCGTGTTTTGTGTACGTTCACAAACACAGGTCATTTTCGACGTACGACAACAATTGAACCCCAAATTTTTTATTCTTAAGAGAAACAGTGAATTTTGCCCCTTTTCATGACCTTTCTTGCCATGGCTGTTAAGTAGATCACTGCGGTTGTTAAGTGAGTCGCACGGATGTGAAGTGAATCTGGCTTCCCCATTGACTCTGCTTGTCAGAGGGTCACAAAAAAGGGGTTCACAGGACCCCGGGACACTCAGCCATCATAAAAATAGGAACCTGATGCCAAGCGTCCGAATTTTGATCTCGTGACTGTGAGGATGCAGCCATGGTCGTAAGTGTCAAAAACGGTCATAAGTTGCTTTTTACAGTGTTGCTGTTAACTTCAAATAGTCACTAAATGGTGTGTTGCAAGTCAAGGACTACCTGTACTGAATTACAGGCAGTCCACAACTTACGACCACAATCGAGCCCCCAAATTTATGTTGTTAAGTGAGAAATTTGTTCAGTGAGCTTTGCCCCATTTTACAACTTTTCTTACCACCTTTCTTAAGTGAGTCAACTCATAGAATATTTCTATGGTCTTTTTAGAGTGGCCAACAGAAAGGGAGGGGGAGCAGTGTGGCAGCTTGCAAACCAAAACTGCATTCCGTAAATGTTTTCAAAGATAGTAACTAGGTGACGGAAGTTTCTGCCCGGCAAATATCTAACTGGAGAGCATGATTGATGACTCTGGGCTATAGAGGTGTCCCATTGGAGGATATCAATTACAATACACCCAGGGGGTGAGTGGGAAAACCAGGGTCAAGGGTGATAGTAAATTATGTGCTTCAGAGTTGGCTACACCCAGGCAGTGCCAGACATGTTAACTCCCAATAAATCCTTTTGAAGTTTTGGAAGTTTGGCTCGAGACTCAGATAACAGATAATCAGAGTTGGAAGGGACCTTGTAGGTCATCTAGTCCAATCCCCCACCCAAGAGTGTCAGGATTCCAGTAGTTACCCCCAATTAAGTCATGAATCTTAAGAGACAAGGAATAATGGATGGAAACTGAACAAGGAGAGAATCAATCTGGAAATAAGGAGAAATTTTCAGAGTGAGAACAATCAACCAAATGTAACAGAAGTTTTCTTTGGAAGTTGTGGGCACTTCATCACTGGAGGCTTTCAAGAAGAGATTGGAGTGTCCAGGGGAAGCCAGAATAGCCATGTTACTAACTGAACAACAGCAGTGATTCTCTTAACAACGGGAGGCAAGAAAGGTCGTAAAATGAGTCATAACTCGCTTAATGCCTCTCAACAGAAATTGTGGTCATAAGTCAAGGACTGCCTGTAGTTCAATACAGCCACAAAAGAGCTTTTAAATTTACAACTCGGCCACTTTATAATGTATGGAAAGATGGCTGGGGAATTCTGGGAGTTGTAGTCCATACATTTTAAAGTGGCCAAGTTGCAGAGACACCGATTTAAATACTCAGAGTTAGTTTTATTGTCCCAGGGAAATTGGCACCACCATACTTTTACATTTTCTCCATTATCCAGCTGACTTTTGGGCATCCTACCAGGTTCCTTCCCAGAGAGTTTGATAAATGAGACACTCAAAAATAAATAAAGTGCCACTAGAAATTCATTAATGGCTGTTCACAACCCCTCTCCATGGGAGAGGTGTTGGCTTGGCTCTACCTGGCTGAATCCTCTGCGAGAGGTTACCACTGATTTTTGGATCAACAAAACAAAACAAAAAGCATTCCTATTCCATAAGCCAAAGAGAAAATGTCTCTGGAGTTTTTGGCAACGAGAAAACCCACTTTCTCACATGGGAAGGGAGGTGTTATTTTAAAAACAGGTAGGCCTTACATTGCTTTTTGGGGGCTGGGAGCAAACAGGAATTACGTTTGAATCTTAAAACAAGTTTTTTTCCCCCCGTTTTTTTCCGTCCGGGAACCAGCTAGTTTGGCCCAGTGGTTAAGGCACCAGGTTAGAAAGCAGGAAATGGTGAATTATAGTCCCACCTTAGGCATGAATGTTGGCTGGAGACTTTGGGCCAACCACCAGGAGATGGTGAGTTCTAGTCCTATTTTAAGGCATGACAGCCAACTGGGTGACTTTGAGCCAATCACTAGGAGATGAGGAGTTATAGTCCTGCCTTAGGCACGAAAGCTGGCTGAGTGACATTGGGCCGATCACCAGGGAGGCAGTGAGTTCTAGTCCTGCTTTAGCCCTGAAAAGTCAGCTGGACAACTTTGCGTCAATCATCTGGAGATGGTGAGTTCTACTCCCTCTGCTTGACTTTGGGCCAATCATCTAGAGATTGTGAATTCTAGTCCCACTTTAGGCATGAAAACCAGCTGGGTGACTTTGGGCCAATCACTGGGAGACGATGAATTCTAGTCCTGTGTTCAGCATGAAAGATATCTGGGTGACTTAGGGCCCATCACCAGGAGACAGTGAGTTCTAGTCCTGCCTTAGGCATGAAAGCCAGCTGGGTGATTTTAGGCCAATCACCAGGAGACAGTGAGTTCTAGTCCCGCCTTAGGC